ACAAGTTAGGAGTCATCAGGACTCTGTATCACAGAGCAGACAGCGTCCCCACTAGCTCAGGAGCCAGGCAGAAGGAGAAATCCCACACAAGACAGGCTCTAGAGCAATGTGGATATCCTAACTGGGCCTTCCTGAAAGCAGAGAAGAAACCCAAACAGGACTCCAGTCAGCCAACAGGTGAAAAGGAGGAACCCAGACCCAGACCAGTGGTCATTCCATATGTTGAGGGAGTATCAGAGAAACTGAGACGTTTATTTTCTAAACATAACGTCCCAGTGGCTTTTAAACCCCAAAATACATTACGGCAAAGACTGGTTCATCCCAAAGATCCAGTCCCCCGGCACAAACAGAGTAATGTTGTGTATGCTGTTCAGTGTCAGGAGGGCTGTGATCAGTCTTACATCAGGGAAACAAAACAGCCACTGGCCAAAAGGATGGCCCAGCACAGAAGATCAACATCATCAGGCCAGGACTCTGCGGTCTACACTCATCTCCAGGCCAGCGGTCACTCTTTCAGGGATGAAGATGTGCACATCCTGGACAGAGAGGAACGATGGTTTGAGAGAGGAGTAAAGGAGGCCATCTTTGTGAAAAGAAATCGTCCATCATTAAACAGGGGTGGAGGCCTACGTGTTCAATTGTCCCCCTCTTACAATGCTGTGATTGCTAGTATCAATCAGCCCTCTGTGAATAGTAAACAGCCATCAGTGTGCTAATGATCCATTGTTAGGCTGATGGTCCTTCTTGAGCATGTGATCAGCTGGTTTTGGTTGTCAGCAGCAAAACTGGTTGATCCACTCTGATAAGGTGCTATTTAAGAGACTGAGCTGAATACAGCACCTCAGACTGAGGAAGTCTCTTGGATGAGAGACGAAATGTTTCTATATTTTTTTGCTTTTTTTTTTTTTTTTTTAATGTCCAGAGGACCAGATTGAACTTTTTTGGATATCCCTTGTGTTGTGCTGCTATAGGCTTAGACTGCTGGAGGACAAACTGACCACAATTTTCACTCTACTACCATCTTTACTTACTCTGCTCAACCTGTTTTGTATTTGTAATTTTTTTTTTTTATTCTTAACCTGTGCTTTTTTGTCTTTCAGATACACCTGGACCTATACCTGGACCTACCATTCTGTGTTCGTTTGTCTCTCCTTCCTGTCCTCTCAACCAGCCTGTCAAAGCAGATGGCCGCTTGTCCTGAGCCTGGTTCTGCTGGAGGTTTCTTCCTTTTAAAAGGGAGTTTTTCCTTTCCACTGTTGCCACTGTGCTTGCTCAGGATGGGAGACTGCAACAAAGCCAAGATTCAACTTGTCTGCTGGATTCCTTAGGATTTAGCAAAAAGGAAAGTCTTAGCCTAGTTTTAAAACTGGATAATGTGTCAGCCTCACGGACAGAGATTGGAAGTTGGTTCCACAAGAGAGGAGCCTGATAACTGAAAGATCTGCCTCCCATTCTGTTTTTGTACATTCTAGGAACCACAAGTAAACCTGCAGTCTTAGAGCGAAGTGCTCCGTTAGGAAAATATGGAACAATAAGATCTGTAATATAAGATGGAGCCAGGTTGTTGAGAGCTTTGTAGGTTAGAAGTAAGATTTTGAATTCTATTCTTGATTTGACAGGGAGCCAATGGAGTGAAGCTAAAACTGGAGAAATTTGATCTCTCCTACTAACTGCGGTTAAGAATCTGGCAGCAGCATAATGACCTGACTGAAAATTGTTGGATTGTAAACCTGGATTATTGAGCATGGACTTTGTTGGTTTTGAACCAGTTTGACATGACTGTCAACGAGGAAGAGGGCCGGCACCAGAGGAGGGGGCGTGTAAAAGAGACCAGCTTAGCACCAACCTAACTGGTTTGTTCCACTTTGGAGTAAGCTGTTTGGGGGAAGAATCAGTTTTGTGTTGTGTGTTTCCTTGACTGATGAAGCCTTCTGAATGGAAGGTGAAACGTTTCAGTACAAAGAAACTGTCCAGATGACCTGACTGAAAATTGTTGGATTGTATACCTGGATTATTGCGCATGGACTTTATTTATTTACAAAAACAGTTTTGAATCAGTTCTCTAATAGATCTAACTCTGTATACCCAATATTTTCTGGCTCATAATTAGAAATTGTCATTTGTGTTTTTTAAAGCAAACACTTATATTCATAAAAATGCAAGCTAATCAATTAATTGTGACACTTCTTACAATTATCTCTCCAAAGACATTTTTTTTATCTTGCCCTTGCTTTTTCAAAAATGATCTTGCATTTTAAAATTTCTTTGAATGCTCTTCATGCACAGACACAGAATAATATGACACCCATCATCATACGTAGATTCCAGATTTATTTGTTAATTCTTAAATCGCGGGAATAACTTTTCTTTACAAGTTCAATTGCACAAGAGCACCAACATTCAGTACCGACACAAATATTAGAAAATTGTACAATTTTATTTTGTATGTTTGTTTTTTTTGTTACAAATTAAAAATTGTTTTTGTTTTGGCAGCTTTTTATCAATTTGAATGTATTGTGTATTTTACTAAAAATATTGATCAAGCAACTGTAAATATTATCTACACTGTAAAAAAAAGATTATCTTGACTGACATAAATATCCAGTTTGTTTAGCTCTGCTGAAAGTTACAATTTAAACAAAATTCAAACAAGAACATGGAGATTTTTTAGGGTGATTTTCTCTACTTTCCAATTATCGTTAGCATGGCGCTGCTTTTTGCTTTGCCTAAGGTAAACTTGACTGTCCCGCTCATGTCCACGCTGGTGTCCCTCAGGGTGAGCTTTTGGACCGTTCCGTGGTCGTCCATTCGAACAGAAGGGCCTGGATGAAGAGTTGCACCGTTCAAGGTCCAGACTGGAGGCTTGGAAATGGCAACAGAGACCTCACACTGGAAAGAAGCAGTTTCTTGTTCTGTCACCTCAACGTCCTCTAGCTCTCTTACCATCACAAGAGCCTGGGCTGCAATGGTGTAAAGCATGGTTATAATAGAAGAAAACATGAGAGGATGTGGTTTTACCCGTGAAGATTTTACCTTCAACCATTAGTTTTGCTTTGGAGGTGTGGTCTCCAACCTCAAAACTGTAGGTGCCCTCATCCTCCACAGCTACCTGGTGGATTACCAGTTTATGAGTGCAACCGTCAGCCGTGATCTCTATCCGGTCTGAAAAAAACAGCTCCTGTTTGTCTTTGTACCACGTGGCGTTGCAGTGGGGGGAAGAAATGGTGCATTCAAGGATAACACGGTGTTTCTCCAGGGCTGTTTTGTCTCGCAGTGGTCTTACGATGGAAACTGGAAGCTCTGGAATTAGATGGTGATGGAAGTTCAAGACTGAAAAAAGTTTAATAACAAAAGGAGAAAAGTTGAAGGGGAAACAAATGACCCACCTTCTACCTCAAGGTAAGCTGTTGATTCAACATCCCTGGAGCTGAAGCGGATTTCTCCAGCATCTTCGGCTTTAATGTTGCACATCAATAGGAAGTGTTTGGTCCCTGGTGGAGGATTCAAATTTTATTCCCAGCTGATTCTTCCCAACAAAGTCTAAAAGCTTTTAAAGTCGTATTTCTTAGAAAAATAGACCACAATACTCAAAACATCAGTCCACTTGGAGATCTTCTAAATATTACAGATTAGCTGTTCCTATTTAGATTAACACATTTTCTTCAGAAACGTGTTCTATAATTGTTAATTTTCTGTTTTATTCTTTGTACCTTAATAATCTGTACCATATAAAAATACACTGCCTGGCCAAAAAAAAAAAAAAGTTGCCACCTGGATTTAACTAAGCAAATAGGTACGAGCCTCCTATTGGATAATTACTGCATGGGTGATTATCTTTCAGCTGGCAACAATTTATTTAATCCCAATTGGTGCAATGAGTTGCTTCTCATTAAACAATCATGTTTAAAGACACATTGCGTGGTCGTGGAAAAGATGTCAGTCTGTTTGAGAAGGGTCAAATCATTGGCATGCATCAAGCAGAGAAAACGTCTAAGGAGATGGTTGAAACTACTAAAATTGGGTTAAGAACTGTCCAACGCATTATTAAAAACTGGAAGGAAAGTGGGGACCCATCGTCTTCGAGGAAGAAATGTGGCTGGAAAAAAATCCTGAATGATCATAAATGGCGATCACTTAAACGTTTGGTGAAATCAAATTGAAGAAAAACAACAGTAGCACTCAGGTCTATGCTTGATAGTGAAAGTAAGAGCATTTCCACACGCACAATGTGGGAATGTGGGAAGCTGCAACAGGGAGTTGGAGCAGCTGTTATCAGGACTGTGATCTTCCTGGCAGCACTCATTTATGGTGGGAATAATCTGGAGAAGCTGTGAGCTCAACTTTTGGAGTAAAGGATCAATTCAGCTGTTTTGGAGTTCCATCAGAGAATATGTACCAGCAAGACTTAAAAAAAGGCAGAAACAACAATTCACGAGTTCTGCCAGACCCAAATTGTGGCCTTGATGTCGGACTTATCTCAACTCCTCCTGGAATGTTTTGAAAACAACAAAGATGCTTTGACTGTTTCCTCACCCCTCCCTTCCCCAAGGCCGTGGACATGTAACAGAACCTCAACTGAGCTGAAGATGAACGTCACCTCTTATATGGACAATGGCTGAGAGGGGGGCTCTGGACTATGCTACGACTTTCCCTTAAAAATTCAATGTCTTCACCGGCATATACAGGTCCTTCTCAAAAAATTAGCATATTGTGATAAAGGTCATTATTTTCCATAATGTAATGATAAAAATGAAACTTTCATATATTTCAGATTCATTGCACACCAACTGAAATATTTCAGGTCTTTAATTGTTTTAATACTGATGATTATGGCATACAGCTCATGAAAACCCAAAATGCCTGTCCCAAAAAATTAGCATATCATAAAAAGGTTCTCTAAACAAGCTATTAACCTAACCATCTGAATCAACGACGTAACTCTAAACACCTGCAAAAGATTCCTGAGGCTTTTAAAAACTCCCAGCCTTGTTCATTACTCAAAACCGCAATCCTGGGTAAGACTGCCGACCTGACTGCTGTCCAGAAGGCCATCATTGACACCCTCAAGCAAGAGGGTAAGACACAGAAAGAAACTGCTGAACGAATAGGCTGTTCCCAGAGTGCTGTATCAAGGCACCTCAGTGGGAAGTCTGTGGGAAGGGAAAAGTGTGGCAGAAAACGCTGCACAATGAGAAGAGGTGACCGGACCCTGAGGAGGATTGTGGAGAAGGGCCGATTCCAGACCTTGGGGGACCTGCGGAAGCAGTGGACTGAGTCTGGAGTAGAAACATCCAGAGCCACCGTGCACAGGCGTGTGCAGGAAATGGGCTACAGGTGCTGCATTCCCCAGGTCAAGCCACTCTTGAACAAGAGACTGCGTCAGAAGCATCTTGCCTGGGACTGCTGCTGAGTGGTCCAAAGTTATGCTCTCTGATTACAGTAAATTTTGCATTTTCTTTGGAAATCAAGGTCCCAGAGTCTGGAGGAAGAGAGGAGACACAGAATTCACATTGCTTGAGGTCCATTGTCAAGTTTCCACAGTCACTGGGGTTTCATGTCAGCTGCTGGTGTTGGTCCACTGTGTTTTATCAAGGGCAGGGTCAATGCAGCTAGCTATCAGGAGATTTTGGAGCACTTCATGCTTCCATCTGCTGAAAAGCTTTATGGAGATGAAGATTTCATTTTTCAGCATGACCTGGCACCTGCTCACAGTGCCAAAACCACTGGTAAATGGTTTACTGACCATGGTATTACTGTGCTCAATTGGCCTGCCAACTCTCCTGACCTGAACCCCATAGAGAACCTGTGGGATATTGTGAAGAGAAAGTTGAGAGACGCAAGACCCAACACTCTGGATGAGCTTAAGGCCGCTATCGAAGCATCCTGGGCCTCCATAACACCTCAGCAGTGCCACAGGCTGATTGCCTCCATGCCACGCCGCATTGAAGCAGTCATTCATGCAAAAGAATTCCTGACCAAGTATTGAGTGCATAACTGAACATGATTATTTGAAGGTTGGCGTTTTTTGTATTAAAAACACTTGTCTTTCATTGGTGGGATGAAATATGCTAATTTTTTGGGACAGGCATTTTGGGTTTTCATGAGCTGTATGCCATAATCATCAGTATTAAAACAATTAAAGACCTGAAATATTTCAGTTGGTGTGCAATGAATCTGAAATATATGAAAGTTTTATTTTTATCATTACATTATGGAAAATAATGACCTTTATCACAATATGCTAATTTTTTGAGAAGGACCTGTATGTACATACATAATGGCTGTTTATGTTGCTTTGCTGTGGTAGTTTTTTTTTTAGGCCTTGAATCGTGCCCTGTCTAGGACACGGTGTGAGAGATCTTTTTTTAATACCGTCTCTCCTCATGCTTTCTTTCCTTTTCTCACCTAAGCAAAATATTATTCTGAATAAGAATAAGAGGGCCGCGCTAATTATTTATAGCTGCAGCTTCGTGCACTCCGCCCATCTTCGGACGACTGTACGTACATATTCGCATTGTATCTCGGTGAAATTCCAATAAAGTTTATTCTTCTGATTCTGATGTGAAGGGAACTCAACAAATTGGGACTGAACAGCTGTGTAGCCTTAAGAAAACCACTAATCAGTGATGCTAACCGGAATAAAAGGCTTCAATTTGCTAGGGAGCATAAAGATTGGACTCTGGAGCAATGGAAGTAGGACATGCGGTCTGATCAGTCCAGATTTACCCTGTTCCAGAGTGATGGGCGCATCAGGGTAAGAAGAGAGGCAGGTGAAGTGATGCACCCATCATGTCTAGTGCCTAGTCATCAATGCAAGATCTTGGTGAAAAATTAATGCAACACTGGATGGAAATAGATCTTGTGACATTGCAGAAGCTTTTCGAAACAATGCCACAGTGAATGCATGATGTAATCAAAGCTAAAGGTGGTCCAACAAAATATTAGTGTGTGACCTTTTTTTGGTGGTGACTTTTTTTTGGCCAGGCAGTGCATATGGCTATTGCTGGGATGTTTGTCCCATTTCAAGTGTCATAAAGCAACACCATGCAGTTTCTGACCTTCAGTACGGATCTTTGTGGTGCTGCTGGGCCGGATCTTGTGACCATTCTTGTACCACTCCCCAGTCACATCCTCCAGAGAAACCTCACACATAAAGACAGCATTCTGCTCTTCCTGGATGTAAAGATCTTCCAGATCCTGCACTATCTCCAGCTTGTGCTCTGAAGGTCAGGAAGAAATTTAATAAATAAAATTATGAAATTGTCCACTAGATCACGGCATAGTACAGTTGATACATAGAGTTAAATAAAACAGTAGAACGTGCACAGGTCACGTGACCTTGTGATTCACTGCAGCAACGATGGCCATTCACAAAATGGATAAACTTCTACACTTAGTGTTTTGACTAAATAGATAAGGGTTGACTATGTAAAAAATGTCCATTCATCCATTATCTTTACCCGCTTCTTCCTTTTCGGGTCATGGGGGTCACTGGTGCCCATATCCAGCAATCACTGTGCGAGAGGCGGGGGACACCCTGGACAGGTTTCCAGTCCATCACAGAGAAACATAGAGACAAACGAGACAAACAACCATTCACTCTCTCGCTCACACCTAGAGACAATTCAGTTATCAAACAGCCTAACATGCATGTTTTTGGTATGTGGGAGGAAACAGGAGTAGCCGGAGAAAGCTGCGCGTGCTACGGATGTAGCAACAGAAGAGAAAAAGGAAAACATGTCTTCTTTCACACGTCAGCAGATATTGTTTACCTCAATGTGAAAATGATCCGACCAAAACTGAAGCTAATTATGGACCCATTTAAAAGCAGCCTATAAAGCTGCTTAAATAATTATTGAATTAACTCGTAGATGGTAGCTTCTGTGACAGAAATTGCTTTGCTGTACATTCAAGCTACAATATAGTACAAATGATTAAATAGTCCAAACTGTTGTTGCCTCCAGGAACAATTCATTATCTGCTTTCACTGCCTGAATTCTAAAAATGTACTTTTAAGCGTAGGTATAGATTAGACCAGAGGTCTTCAACCTTTTTTCCTTTGAGAGCTATCACAATCTGAGAAGGGCCAAGAGCTACTCGTGCTTTCTAACATTCATTTTTATAACCTATAGTCACCCAAACCATTGGGATAAGTTTGTTTCGGCTGCACATTTGTAAAACATTGGTATCCTAAACTCATAATAAAACATTACAGAAAAATTGAATTTAAATAAATGTGCATTTTGACCAGTCACAGACATCAACTTTCCATCCGAGACCTTTTTTGCTACTAACTAGTCTTTCACTGTGGAGTAAAAATCAACTCCCTTGGTTGTTGTTTTTAGAGGGAGTGAGGTTAAAAATTCTTCTTTGGTGGAAAAGTCACCAAACACCAGCCGAATATAAAGAGCCAGCTTCGGTGTATCATTTGCGTTGACAGACTTGTCGCACTGAATTCAAAACCTTTTGCACTTGTCTATGTCAGATTTGAGATCTTTAAGTGCATTCATGGATAGCGCAGACACTCACATTGCGACCATATTAACACAGAGTTGCACATGGGCAGTAGCAGATAAAATATGTGTCTTCATTTTATAGTCCGGGACCAGAGTTTCAACCACCAAGGTGAAAACCTCCTTTATAGTCCCATCATCAGAGAAGGACTTTTTGTGCTTGGTTAGTTTGTGCGCCACTCTAAACGAAGCTTCTGTTGATGCATTGATGGTCTTTGAGAGGTTGGTGAAAAAGGACAGTTAATAATTATATAATAAGGAGTTATGTGTTGTCATCATTGTATGTTCCCATGCAATGGTGAAACTGGCTCTCTGCATTTAACCCATCCACCACCAAGTGGAGCAGTGGGCAGCCATGGAAAGCACAAGGGGAGCAATTGGGGAGAGGGTGTCCTGCTCAGAGACACCACGAGATCAAGACTAGGGATCGAACCTGGGACTTTTGGGTCCCAGGTCGGCTGCCCTGCCTCTACACCATCTCAGCCCCCCTAGAGTGGTTGCCTCTGAAGTGATGTTTTTAGCTGCTTAACTTTGGCTTCTTGAAGATTGCTACCTGGAGGAAAGTTCCACTAAAAATTGCTGTGAACTTTGATAAAATGGCGCGCCACATAGCATCTTTTCCCAACTAACATGCTTGCTATGCAGATCAGGCACACTCGCTTATTAGAAACATTTGTAGGAAAAAAAATCTGTTTCCCACTTCCTTTCCACTGTTGCCACTGTGCTTGCTCAGGATGGGAGACTGCAACAAAGCCAATATTCAACTTGTCTGCTGAATTCCTTAGATAAAGAACTTTACTAATTGGCTTTTATGTATGTGAATGTTTCTGTAAAGTGCCCTGAGACAACTTTGTTGTGATTTGGCGCTATATAAATAAAATGAACTGAATTGATAAAAATGGTACATTTTTTGTCTCTTACCGAGATAGCTCTTTGCCGTGGTTCCGACTCATCAAGCTTGATGTAATAGGTTGAAAATATTATATTTAGCTTATAAAAAAAAAAAAACAGACACCCCTCTTAATTTTTTACTACTCTAATAGAGTGACTTGAACGCATCATGGACTTACTCCACCAAAGCAGTAGGTGGTGCTTGTATGCTCCTGTGGGTCGACTGAGCAGTTTCTTCTCAAGCTCTACTTAGCACGAATCAGAAATAAAATGGTGCTAGCTTGTGAGAGATGCTAATCCAACGTTCTCTTCATCGATCCACAGCCAGTGCACCACAGATCCACAGCGCTTCTTAGCCTGTGAATCACATTACTGGCCCAGATAATTCTAGGTCTGGCGCCAGTTACTTTAACATCATCATAACTGCTTGACAACTTATTGTCAAATAATCTTTTAGTGGAAGCAAGGGGTGGGGCATCTATGATTTTGACTGGACATAAATGTAAGTTTGTCCACAAATCAAATTTGACTATTTCCGATTTTTTTTATTAACTGTCAGGGAATTTTTGGTCAAAGGTGATGGATGTTTTTATTATTATGGCTAAGAACATTCTTGCCCTCTGCCCTGAAAACAAGAAGCCCAAAAGAAGACAAACCATCTCCCAAAACACTTTCGAACTTCTGCCCATGAACCATATGTTTGTGTAAACCGAGTGCTGTGTAAGAAGACAGCAGTTGGCTTCAAGGACACCCCGAGCTATGGTGAACGCTGAGTTGAGAGGATTATAAAAGCAAGCAGATGATGTGGCTCATCGCTTTTTTCTGTGACTGGTTTTCATGTGTATACATTGTGTATGTTTATGTATGTAACCTGTCCTGAAATCTGCCCTTTCAAGTAAAATACCAGTTAAAAATCTTCACCTGCCATGAGAATGGTTCTTTTAAGTAAACAAGGTCAGAGAACGAGATCATTCTCCAACATTAACCCCTTTGAGGAGCTATTTGAAAAGAGTCGCAAGCCACATGCTTTGGAGACCCCTGGATTACACACTGATCGCTGCATTTAGCTGCAATTAGCAGAACCTACATTTACTCAATTTACACATTAAAAACATTAGTTTCAAATTTAGCAACTAGATAGAAGTCATAAATATTAAACCAGATAAAATGTATTGAAATCCTTGGAAGTTGGTCATCAATTATTGACTGATTTCAGGGCTAGTTTACATCAACATTGGTTAGATTCAATATATTTTCCTAAGAAATCAATGTAGACTATAAATTATTTGAATTTATTGTAAAGATATTAATAATAATTTGTAACACAGATCCAGCTGGGCTTGCTGTTAATTAAACTTTTGTTTTGTTGGTTGCGAGCAGTTGCCTGTTTTGGTCACCATTCAAGCTTCTCCATGATGTCACCGATAATGGGCGGGATGTGCAAAACGCACTCTAGTGGTATTATTTAACTCTATGAGTTGATATCAGATTGTCTTCAATTAAAACACAAATTCAAGGTGTGTTGATTTAAGGCAGGGGTGCCCACACTTTTCCAGCATGCGAGCTACTTTTAAAATGACCAAGTCAAAGTGATCTACCTACTATACTGGTTGCCCTGTATGTCAATCAAGTGACAAATTTCATTGTAAGGATGGATGATATGCTGACGTCTATTTTTTTAATGCCATGCGATTTACCCAAAATACCTTTGCGATCGACTGGTAGATCGCAATTGACGTATTGGGGCACCACTGATTAAGGCTTTAGTAGGATGTATGCTCGGAGAGTGTGCATTTAAGACATACCATAAATCTCCAGAGCACATGAAGTGTTGATTTCTCCTGTGTCACATTTGTAGAAACCTGAATCAGCTCGGGTACATTGAAGGATCTGACAGAACCTCTTTCGACCCATAGAGTAGATCCGAACGTTCTTGTCTGGCCTTAGCTCGACCCCGTTCTAATGTAGAAATGAAATGTTTATTTTGGGTTTAGAAAGCAAGAGAGAAAAATAGACGATAAAATAAAATAAATAAGAGCATTTTGAGGTGTTCTTTACCTTAAGCCATTTGACCTCCACATTTTGTCTGGAGAATTCACACTCCAGAGTGGCAGGAAATTCCTCCTCCACACGAACATCCGTTAGTGGTTTCAGGATAGACACAGGTGTCTCTGTAAATTTAGTCAATCCAAATGATCAGTCAGCAAACAACACAGATTTATGACCACTGATTCACAGATTTCAACAATTTCACAAGCGTACAAAACCTTCCCCTCTAAAAGCGTCCAGAAAAATGTTGACTTTCATGAAATTGATTTTGTTATAAGAAAAGCTGAGACAGGGCGGCATGGTGGCTCAGTTGGTAGAGTTGGTCTTTCAGCGAGAAGGTCACCAGATTGAATCCCAGCCAGGGCACCTTTCTGGGTGGAGTTTGCGTGTTCTCTCTGTTCATGCGTGGGTTTTCTCCGGGTACTCCGGTTTCCTCCCACAGACCAAAAATATGCATGTTTTTTTTTCATTCATTCAACCTTTATTTAAACAGGTTAGTTTCATTGAGCCTCGGGGACTCATTTACAAGAGAGACCAGATTTTAGAAAAGAATGATGACAAAAGTGGCAAAGACAACAATAGACAAAGCTCTGATTAGTCTATTTAGAATGATTTGTTCAATTAGCTTTGCAGAGATCTAGTAGAGTGCTGTATGAATGGGTAAATCAGGACACAGATTGTAGTGTAAATTGCTTTGAGTATCTTGAAATAAGATAGAAAGGCGCTATATAAATACAGTCCATTTACCATTTATAATCATAAAAGAAAGAATGTAAATTGAGAAGAATAAATGAAAGAAATTGGTATAAAAAAAAGAAACAAAAAACAGCTAGATGTACGAAGTAGACGATGTAGAATACTAGAAAACTAAAACAGGAACATGTCTTTTTTTTTTTCCTCTTTTTTTTTTTAAACCCATCCCCTACCCTCCTCAATTCCCCCCCCGCGGTTCCCTTCTGCACTCTTTTGTCCTGTGAACCCTTTTTTTTTTTTGTGAGCTCAGTTTAAGTGTAGAAACATTGTGAAGTGTTTCAATGAACTTATCATCATCGCTCAATTTTTTTTTAAAGAAAGAGAAGAAAGAAGAATAAATAAATAATAAAAGAGAAGAAGATAAGACGAGAGACCACCATGACAAAACAACATGCACAGCACAATGCCACCCACAATATCACCATGAAACATTCGACATCGCACAAGGAATCATCTAGCTTCCACCACTACCCAACCTAGTGTGCATCTGTCAAAGCACCTGAATCCAAACACCCGCGCAAGCACGCCCGCCACCACCAGATTTCTCCAAAAGAATGCCCAATAGTGGATGCGGGGGCCCACAGACCCGCCCCCCCAGGACACAATGGCAACATAGGGAGGACCGGAGCCACAGACACACAGCAGCCCACAGGCCCAGAGCCCCAAGAGTCTCCCAACAGGGAGAACCGCACACCCCCAGAGAGGAGCAGAGGAAAGAACCGGGTGACCCCAGCCACCACAATGCAGAGCCTCCAGGAAGCTGCAGCGACGAGCCCACAGGCCCGGCCAGCGACCCATGCCCCCCCCAAGTAGATCCGGCCATGTGAGGTGCTGGCAGACATCTTTAACACCTCACTTACCCTGGAGACAGTTCCCACCTGCCTGAAGACTGCCACCATCATCCCAGTCCCAAAAAGCTCTACAGTGACTGGTCTGAATGACTATCGGCCAGTGGCCCTCACCCCGATAGTCGCTAAATGCTTCGAAAAACTGGTCATGACTC